CGCCCGGCCAGGCCTGAGGCCGCGCAGAGCCCCGGTGACCCCAATAAAACGCGCGACCCACGGGCTGGAAGGTGTCGGACTCTGCCTCCGGGCTGGCGGGCGGCTGGCGGTGACCTGTGCGGGCCCAGCGCCCCGCAGCCCGGGGAGGAGGCGGTGGGGACGAGGGGAGGCCCCCGGCCAGGGAGGGCCCCGACTGCGGGCAGCCTGAGCCCGCACCCCGGGTAGAGCGCCAGCCTTGAGCAGCAGCAGCTCAGGGGCGGCGCCCGGGCCCCGAGTTCAAGACCCAGGACTGGCAAAAACAACAATTCCCAGGTCCCCGTGGGGCCCAGCAGGGACGGGAGGCTCCTCCTACACCAGCGTCCCCACCCACCGTGCCGACGGGAAACTGAGGCAGCGGGCAGCGGGCCTGGCCCGGCCCCCGGCTCACCCCGCCGGTGCAGGGGTCACGGCAGGCAGCTGCCAAGCGCAGTGCCAGGGGCACCCGCCACGCCGCTGACCCAAAGCCATGCTGGCCGCGGCCAGCAGGGCAGCCGGAGAGGAGAGGCAGGGCTGGAGGGCGGCACTCGGCAGCACAGACTGTGCCGGGAGGCGGGGGCCCAGGAGCGTCCGCGTTTGTAAATGGGGGAAACAAGGCCAAATGGGTCTGAAAGGCCGCGTGGGAGATGCCCCAGCAGCAGAGGCCCCCGCGGGCTGGCCCCACACCACCCTGCTGGGCACCCTGCACGCTGCGGCCGGCCCAGCCCTGCCCCCACAGGAGCCAGGGCCCAGGGAGCTGCAGCCCTCCTCTCCAGCACCGAGGAAGGGCTGGGCAGGCCTTGCCAGCCCCGCGGCCCCAGGGCATTAACCCTAAGCAGGCAGGCAGGCCAGCACTGGCCGGGGACCGGGCAGCACCAGCCTGCATGTGGCCCCCGCACCCGGCCGAGGCCACCACCGCCGCCCAACGCCGCTCACTGTGAGGCGCGCCTGCCCCTCCCCCCAGAAGAGAGCAGCCTGTGGGGCTCGAGTATGATTCTGTTTTTAATCAGAACAATGTGTGTGAATGACAAGACCCCACCACGCTGCCGGTGGCGGCCACAGATCACGCATGAATTCATCCCACCTAGGGAAGGAGGGAGGACGTGGGGTCCCTGGCCTCCGCCCGGGGCCCTGGGGCCGCCTCCGGACGGCAAGCAGAGGTGGGAAAGCACAGCAGCGATACTGGGGAAAATCCTTCCTCATGGAAAACATCTGAACTCATTCACTGAAGGTATCAAAAATACACCCTGTAAACCAATGCATCGTTTACACCACCTCCCTCCCGCGCCGCGCACCATCCAGCTCCTCGGCTCCTGCGTGCCCGGCCTGCACCCAGCCTGCTGCACTCGGGCCTGGCCGGCCTGGGCTGCCTGTGGGGTCTGTGGACAAGAGCGCTGGGGGGACAGGGCCTGCGTGGCCTGTCCAGCGGGAAGCGGGTGGGGCAGCGCGAGGGGGCAGGGCCGCTAGCTCGGTATAGACTTTGGTTCCAGATCGAGGGGAGGGCGGGCGGTGGCATGGAGGTGCGTGGTCGTCCTGGCTTGGGTCCCCGGCCTGCCGCCTCCCCGCCTCCCCTCCCTCCCGTCCCGAGCACCAGGCGAACGTCTCCTGAGTAAGGTCACTGCGCAGGGCCAGCCCGGGGCGGGGCTTGGTTAAGGCTTAAGACAGGCAGGAGCCGCGGTGGACGGATGGCGGGCGGTGGACGGACGCGCAGGCCGGCTCCGGGCGGCTCCAAGGCACGCGCCGGGCCCCACACCACTTGCGCTGCACGGAAGTCACTGGAAGTCACTGGAAGTCACTCGCTGTCGGACAGCGTCTCGTACTGAGAGCAGAGCAGAGGCTTGGGCTCCCCGTCCCAGGCATGGTGGGGGCCGGCGGGGAGGCCCGGTGGGGGCGGGGAGGCCATGACTCCGGCCTGCAGCCGCATGATCAGGGGGTTGTAGGGGAAGGGCGTGGAACCTGCGGGACACGGGGGCCGGTGGGAAGGTGGGAGGGCCACAGCCCGCCCTCCCGCCTACCCCAGACAAGAGAAGGCCTAGCTTCATCTCGGGCCCCAGCGCCCCCTCCCCGCCCCTCCCCCTCCCTGCAGGCCCAGGCTGGGGCGGGCGAGGGCCCACCTGTGGACGAGGGCCGGTCCTCCCACACGCGCGTGCTGAGCGGTGTCCGGCGGTTGCAGTCGCCCTCGGAGTGCACGGAGGAGACGGAGGGCGGCCGCTCTCCAGATGCGGCGCCGGGGGCCGGGGACTTAGCCTTGCGGCTGCCGGGCCTGCCAGGGGCTTTGACCTTCCCGCCACCACCTGCAGGGGGGAGGGGGAGGCAGCGTTGGAGGCTGCAGAAGGGCGCGGCCAGGTGTGGGCCAGGGACCGGGCGGGGGGCGTCTGCGCCCGGGGCCTGCAGGGGCTGAGGACCCGATGACACCCCAGCCCAGGCCGACCAGACAGCCAGAGCAGAGCCCCGGTGCAGCTCGGAGCTGGGCTGCGCCCCACCCCAGCCCCCTAGGACCAGAACCTGCTTCACCCAGGATGGCACTGGAGCTGCCACAGACAGAACTTCTGTGGGACTCTGGGTCCAGATGGACCACTGGGCCCAGGCCTCCTCTGCTCGGCTCCTGCCCGTGAGAGGGGTGGACAGAGCCTGGGTGACGGGGGGTGGGGGGGGGGGGGGGGGGGGGAGAGGGGCTGGCCCTCTGGTTCTGGAGGTCACACAGACCCCGGCCTCCTCCTATCAGCCCCAGTCCAGCCGTAGCATGCCAGGCAGGCCTGGGGGGGCTGCCTCTGCCAGCGGGTGGCCCCCTAGCCCAGCCCTGGGGATCGTGGCTGGGGCCTAGCAGGGGAGGGGCGGGCAGGGTGCCGGTGTCCGGGAGCGGCAGTGCGGGGGGGCGGGGAGGGTGCCCAGCTTCTGATTAGCAAACTCACGACAGGAAACGAGCACAAAAATCAAGTCACAAGCTCCAAAGCCGGAGGGTGAGGCGCGCAGGGGGGGAGGTTAATGACACGGCGCGGACAGACGGGCGGACGGGGAGAGGCCTGCAGACCTGGCGAGGTGAGCGTGGGGTCGCTCCGTCCGTCAGCAGCGGTTACAGGCAGAGCGGCAGCGGGCAGGCTGGCACTGGCATTGAGAGGGTTAAAAGCACCGGTGCCCAGCGGCGGAGGCGGAGGCTCCTCCCACTGCTCGTATTTACCCATGAGCGCCTTTCTAATAATGGCCTCCAGCCCCATGCTGGTGCCCGCATGCTCCTGCACCGCCTGGCTTCTACAGGTCATAAGGCCTGGGAGAGAGACAGACAGACGACACACAGGGGCGGGAGCCAGAGGGGGCGGGGAGGGGGAGGGGAGAGAGAAATACACAGTGAGCACATTTCAGCAAAGCAACACGGTTCTGCGTCCTTCCCTCCCGAAGGGGTGACGGGGCTCCTAACGCGGGGCCCCCTGCTCTTGGGCCCCACCCACCTCTGTGCACACTGGGAGGTCAGAAGCCCCAGTGTTCAGTCCTGGGCGGAGGCCGGTTTTTAAACACCCTTAAATAAAGCGGCAGGCCGGATGGGAAGCAGCCTGTTTGGAGTCGGGCTCCGGGGTGCATAGGTGGAGTGGAGCCTGCGGGCCAGGGGGTGTGTGTGGGGGGGACCGCAGCCCGGCCCCAGGCCGGGAGCCAGAGAGAGGTGCGGAGGTGCGGGGTGGGGACGCAGCCATGCAGTTATGTGCAGCTGGGGACAGGGCAGGCTAGACAGGACAACCACGCTTTGGACCCCCTATGCGGCCCTGGGGCCGCCTCTGCTTTGCGGGGCTCCTTTCCCTTGCTTTCGCTCACAGCTGGTCTGGGGGACCTTTGCAAAGCTGGGTCTCTTTAGCCAGAACGCTTTCAAATCCGGGCCCCTGGGGTTTGAAGGGCTGGAGTCCCCTGCTGGCTGCAGCCCTGGAGGGTCTGGAGGCCGCGCGGGGGAGGCCGCAGGGATGCTCCGGCCTTCCTGTCTGTGATCTGGGCCTGGGCTGACCAGCTGGTATGGCAGCTGGGGTAAAGCTCTGTGCCCTGCGCCGGCCCCCGGCGATGAAGTCTGGGGCCCTGCGCCGGCCCCCGGGGGTGAAGTCTGGGGCCCTGCGCCAGCCCCCGGGGGTGAAGTCTGGGGCCCTGCGCCGGCCCCCGGGGGTGAAGTCTGGGGCCCTGCGCCGGCCCCCGGGGGTGAAGTCTGGGGCCCTGCCCTCTGCCTGCCTCTGGCTCTGCTTCTCTTCCCCAGGTCCCCTCACGACAGCATCTTGCGTGGTGTGGGCCAGTCCAGCTGTATTTCAAAAACAGCTGTGCTGTGGGCATCAGGCAAGCACGCAATGGCACAGCGGGAGCGCCCCAAAACACAAAGATCCCCAAGAGCAGCCCATCGCTGCGGCCAGGGCCAGGGCCCTGGCACTCAGGGTTATGACCCGTGACCCTGCGGCACTGGGCCGGGGCTTCACCATGCCTGCCTCCCATCTTCACTGTGCCACCATAATTTTCTTTTTTGCCATGGGGCCTGAACTCTGGGCCTGGGCGCTGTCCCTCAGCTCTTCAGCTCAAGGCGAGCGTTCCACCACTTCAGCTACAGCACCACTTTTGGCTTTTTCTGCTTATGTGGTGCTGAGGAATCGAACCCAGGGCCTCGTGCATGCGAGGCAAGCGCTCTTCCACTGAGCCACCTGCCCAGCCCCACCCACGATTTTCTATAAACAGGTACACCTGGTGTGGAGCACCTGCATCAAGATCTGGAACATTCCAGGAGCGTTCTCCTGCGGGAAGCTCTCAGGCGCCCCATGAGCCCTGGCAGTGTCCGCAAGGCGCAGGGCTGGACTCGCGGCCTCCCATCGGAGGGCGGGCCACAAAGGCCCACCCCAGCACCTGCACCCCTCCAGCCCCCAAACACCACACCTTTCCTGCTTCTGCTTAAGAAACAGTGATTTGCACTCAGCTTTCTCACACCTGTGCATGTGATTCTGTATAAAACAGATCACTGGCTGCAGTTTTCAGGGAAGCTGTCCTGACCCTGACCTCAAACAGGGGGCTGCCCTGACGTGGCCTGCAGATGCCTGGCATGAGCAGGCGCTCGCCGCAGACAAGCCCCTGGGGCTGCCGCCTGGACAGGAACCCCGCGTCCCACAGAGGCAGGCTGGCTGGGGGACGTTACCTGCTCCGGTGATGGCAGGCATGTTGAAGATCTCCGTCCCAGGCTGGCCAATATCTGGAGGTGGAGAACAAGTGGGTGAGGCCTATGGCCTGCAGACCCCAGGATACCAGCCTCACCTACCCTGTGTGGCCCTGGCCAGTACAGGGCATGACCGGGGCGGTCCAGCTCCTTCCAGAGGGTCTACAAGGCAGGGTGGAGCAAGAGCCTGAGCCTCACAGGACGGGCGGCCATGCTTACAGGGCCAGGCTCTGGAGTTCCTGGCTGAGCAGGGCCATGGGCAATGTTCTACACCAGCCCTGGTCAGCTGCAGGCTGCCCTGGGCGGGGCCCAGGGGTGTGTGTGGGCACCTGCCATCTTGGCCAGCGGCATGCTGTGCTGGCCCACCCACCCCACAAGAGCCACAAGCACCCATAGGAGGCTGGCAGGCGGCTGGAGGCAGCACCAGCTCCTGGAGTCAAGGAAGGGCGGTGCGCAGCTCTGGGCTGGGCCTGCCCCCTCCCCCCGTGGGCAGCTCTGGGCTGGGCCTGCCCCCTCCCCCCCGTGGGCAGCTCTGGGTGGGGCCTGCCCCCTCCCCCGCGTGGGCAGCTCTGGGCTGGGCCTGCCCCCCCGCCCCCCGTGGGCAGCTCTGGGTGGGGCCTGCCCCCTCCCCCGCGTGGGCAGCTCTGGGTGGGGCCTGCACCCCCCCCCGTGGGCAGCTCTGGGCTGGGCCTGCCCCCTCCCCCCGTGGGCAGCTCTGGGCTGGGCCTGCCCCCTCCCCCCGTGGGCAGCTCTGGGTGGGGCCTGCCCCCTCCCCCCGTGGGCAGCTCTGGGTGGG